AACTATGCCAAAATGGCAAAACCTCAAAATGCGAAACTCTGCCAAAACTCTAATAAACAATTAATGTGTAACCTGCCGAAATCCTGCTGATTGATTTCTGGAGGAGTTTCGGCAAGCAACCTTAATCCTGACTGTGTGTTGTAAGATAGTGGAATCAACAGTAAGTCAGTAGGCAAAGTAAATCCTAGCTGTGTGTTGAACACTAAAATAGCCTATCAAATAGGAAACTCAAATTGCACACTTGCAATAACAAGAATTCTGAAAAAATACTTAAATACTGAAGTTATTAATCCAGATACCAAAAGACATAAAATGTAACAGTCCCTGAACTTGAACTAGCCATCAAAGTATTTATTTTAATCAAAACAGAACCATCTTAAATGAAGCTATTTTAATCAAAAAGCCAAATAAATAGCAAATGTATTGGGAATTTCAGAAGATTTTCTCTGTATGGCTCTATAAATTCAAAAGACATAATGGAATTAAAGAAAGGAAGCTTCAATGAGAGGAATAATCAGCTGATCTAAATGCAATAATTGAAGCCTTGCCATTGTTAAAAGATAAATGTGCAAGCTATCTGCTTGAAAGAATATACAATATGGATGAAACAAGTCTTTTTTATAGATTAGAACCAGATCAAATGTTAGCTACACAAGACTTTCTGGACATAAAAAATAATAAAAGATTTTCAATTGCTTTGTTGCTAACTCTGATGGATCACACAAGTCAAATCCATTGATAATTGGAAAATATAAAAAACCATAATGCTTTAATAATATCAACATAAATAACTTACAAATGGCACATCATAGTGATTCTAAGGTTTGGATGTTAACAACCCTTTTCCAAGACTGGCTTCAGGAATTCGACCAAGAGGTTGCTAAAGAAACTTAGAATTGATAATTGTCCAAGTCATAAGATTGATGATTTGGTTCTCCCAAATGTTGATATTCATTTCTTCCCTCTGAATACCACATCAAAAAATCCAGCAGATGGATTATGTCATTCAAAAGACATTATCACCATTTACATATCAAATAGATCCTAAGTCAAGTTGAAAAGGGAAAAAATATAAAAGACTTAAAAATGGATGAATTGCAGGCAATACATTATACTATTATTACTAAAGATTAAAGTGAAGTCATGCCTGAAACTATCCACAACTGCTGGAATCACACCAAAATCCTTCCTGGCAAAACCAATATTAATTTAACCAACCTATCTGATAACATCAACAATTTAATGATAGGTCATCAGGTTGTTGCTACTCTTGATCTAATATCTGTTGAGGGATACTTGAATAATCCAGAAGAAGAAATTGTATATGAAATTCCCGAGGATGATAAAATCGTTGAATCCTAAGTCAAGTTGAAAAGGGAAAAAATATAAAAGACTTAAAAATGGATGAATTGCAGGCAATACATTATACTATTATTACTAAAGATTAAAGTGAAGTCATGCCTGAAACTATCCACAACTGCTGGAATCACACCAAAATCCTTCCTGGCAAAACCAATATTAATTTAACCAACCTATCTGATAACATCAACAATTTAATGATAGGTCATCAGGTTGTTGCTACTCTTGATCTAATATCTGTTGAGGGATACTTGAATAATCCAGAAGAAGAAATTGTATATGAAATTCCCGAGGATGATAAAATCGTTGAAATGATTGTGGAAATGTGTAAGCAGCAGACAGAATTAGGAAGTGATAATAAAGAAGAAGATGATAGTGTTTAACAAGTACTAATGAAACTTCAAAAGGTTTGGAAACTGTCCATACAACAAGAAAATGCTAGCAAACAAACAAAATTTGTTAATTCTCTTGAAAAACTTATTAACTTAAATCAAATACAATGGAACGAACTGCAACAGATAGATTCATGTCTTTGAATTTTTCTCTCTTCTAATGATAAATAATAAATTGATTTGTGTCACGTGAGTTACGTGCAGCCAATAAAATGCTTTAATTCCACCCTCCCTAAGTGCACGCTCTCACTCATTCCTAATGGGTACACTTGGGGGGCTGACTGAACTTTGACGCTGATATTGATAATTCTACATGATCGTACAAGCCTAGTCTGTTAGAAATACCATACACAAGCCTGTGAAGGATGATTAGTCGTTCAACTGTACAATATCTTCTATGCTGCTCTTCTTGCTATGACCTTTATATGAGAATTAACTCCAGTACTAGCTATTCTAATTAACATAATTATCAGGATAAATGAATGTGATTTTGGGCATTCAAAGGGATGAGAATATAAGGATTGGGGAGAACAAGGTATGTGATGGTTATTACATTTGGTGCAAAATCCATCATGTTTTGAAACAGTTGATGACAATAATGGTGTTGATGGTGTTGATGGTGTGTTGTAATGGCGATATAGTTGTAATGGTGTGTTGCAACGATGATGTTGATGGGAAAGATATTGATGAGGATGTTGATGAAGATGATGTTGATGAGGATAGTTTATTTTGAACTTCATTGAGCATATTCTTTTACATAATCCCTTTCTGCAACACCAATCTTTGACCATGTTCTCTTTGTATGAAGCTGCTGATTTCTTTGAGACTTGGAATATTCAAAATTCTTGATCAAGCTCTCGATGAATGCATCAATTTCTGACATAATCTGAGCTGTTTTGCCCTACAAAAAATTTTTTGTGGAAAATGTATTTAGAAAAACGTGTTTTTTATATTAATACTAATACTAATACTAACACTAACACTAATACGGAATAATACACTTTCAGTAGTAGTACTAGCATTGAAAAATGCAATATTAATATTGATTTAATATGGAAGGAAGGCGCGTAGAAAACATACGAAAAAAAATGCACTAAACATAAAAAATAGATCCTTCGTTATGACGAGATTAGTAAATTTGGCATATGTGTGTCCCGTACATCTGAATATGTGATATTGCATATTACGTGCCAAACATATGGGTTATCATATCACAGACGAGAATCTAGTCTTTATTTGGGATCTCCATGTAATAAAAGCTGTTGCTAATATTATAACTTTTTTTTATTTATTATTTTTTTTTTTTGTTATATAATATATAAAGAATATAAATTTTTTTTTGAAATTTACAAAATAAAAAAAAATCTTACATGAAGTCTAAGATGATAAAAAATTTTACTATTAGTTAAAAAATCGATCTTGTTTAATAGTTCTTTTTTTTTTTTAATATAAGTATAAATATACACATACATATATACACCACCAATCAATCAAGTTAAAATTAAATTAATTAATTAATTTCAAATTCTAATGAAAACATTTGATTTGGTGAAGAAAAATTTAGATGTACAGGACCACCATTATTTTGAGTTGGAGGAGTGGCAGTACGAGGATGAACAGGAGTTGGTAAAGGATGTAATGTGCGTGGCGTTTCATGAGATTTTTCATGTTTACGAAGAGATCTCGAGTGATAATATGCTTTACTACAACCTTTATGTTGACAAACATATGGCCGATGGTTTGAATGGGTTTTTTTGTGGGTTGTTAAAGAATCAGGCCTTGAGAATTTTTTGCCACAACCATTAACATTGCAAGCGTATGGTCTTTCCCCTGTATGTGTTCTTAAATGATTACACATCTTGTGCCTTTTTGTAAACGGTCTTAAGTTTCTTGTACATCCTTCCCAGTCACACAAATACGTTGACTATTTTTGAATATATGTAATTTTTTAACGTTAATAACATGTGTATTGTGATCTTATTAGAGGGAAACATGAAGAAAGATCAATGAATGATGTTTGTATTGTAGGATTGCAGGAGGGAAATTTACATTCTTTAAAGGATTATATTTGATGATCACAAATCTTTCTAAATTATCAGTATATCTTAATAAAATGTCATACCTATTTTTGCTGACTTCCCTGGACAATTATTTTTTTGAAAATTGATCAGTAAATTATTAAAAAATGAAAATCAAAATTTAAATAATTTAAATGTGAAAAATTTTGTCCCGCCTCTGGGTCCCTTTCATGTTTACTTGAATTCATGTGAGCAAACAGTTCTTGTTCATAATAAATTTTTTGAAAAAATGGTTCATTATGTTTTTGGTGATAATAAAGTATTAGCAAAAAAACCTATACCTTGGAGGATAAATTTATTATCAGAGTTAGCTGCTAAAGGTATGCAAAAAATTTAAAATGTAAATTTGAGAATGTATGCAAAGATGTTGAATATATAATGGCACTTGACTTTCTGGAAAATATAATACCAGCCACTTTAGACATTTATGCAATTCTTTTTTGTTCTTGTAAATTTGAAGAATATCTAGAAACAATATTTAGAATTTGGACATTTGTGCTTAGAAAAAATTATAACAAAATGCCATTAGCATTTAATTTCAGGTTATATCTATTGGAAGGAAAATAATCATCCTGTAATTTTTTTTTATTAATATTTGATTAAAAAATTTAGATTCTCATAAATCAGTTTTCATTGATAAATTCAAAAAAACCTATCAGTATCCATATGAACCACATCAGATTGAATTTCTTGTACAAAAAACTAGTCCTTTATTTTAAGGATACCGGCTGCAACTTTTGATGATGGTTGCTACCATCTTTGCATCATATAAAAATGATTGCAACCACCTTTACAACCATTTCGTTTCCTTTTTTGGATTGCAACATGGAACACTACTTTATTTATTATCCTATTTTTAAAATAATATATAATAATAAAGAAAAAAATTATAAAATTCCAGAGCATCTAATTGAGAGATCTTTTAAGGAAAAATTCCTACAATATTATTTAGCATCACTTGAATGTATTGTTGATAGAAAATGTCTGCCAACTGGTTATCATACTACCTGTACACCATCATCTGGAATTTGTGATCATTGCAGGCAAGTTTTATCAAATAGTACTGTGAGATCAAAATTCGTGTCTCACACAAATCTCTTGATTTGGTTAGAATAGTATTTATTTCATTTTATGGCAGTATCCAATTATTTACTTCTTAATTACACTCTCTTTATTTTATGGCAGTAATAGTGCTCAAGCTATTAATCTGTTGTGGGGCAAGTTTTGTTACTTCCTGTCTGGTAATGTTTTCTCAGCAGTCCTTTGTTATCTGCCTGAGCCAGCATGTCTCAATTATTATTTATAATATCCTAAGTATCTGCCTTGATACTTTCTATTACGTAGTAATTATATTTATGGCTCAGTTCCTTAACTGACCTCACCTAGCTAGGGTTTCCACTTCTTAGGCATTGGCCTAATCTAAATAAAAATAAAGAAATAAAATTAAAAGAAAATACATACACAACTATACTTATCAAAGGCGTCCCCTTGGTAAGATAGTAATTAATCAGTTAGGTAAAGTCTTGGAGTGAAAGGTTTATTTGGTTTTGGAAGTGGGTGGATTATTCCACTGGCAAGAGTTTTAATTAAAAAATATTTATGTTCATATTTTATTATTAAGATATTGTTGTTATTACAAGATAAAATATAAGTTAAAACTAACTGAAGATTACATGAAAAGAGAAATTTACAATGTATTTATACATGTTAAAGGTTCCATCATCTAGTTCTCTGATTTCTTTGAAATCCTAATTATACTAATTAATATATTCCTTAAACATTATTTAAATCTTCCATGTAGAATTATTTTCAAGTAATTTCTAGTCAATGTGAGTTATGTAAAATTCTTTTATTTAAATATTATTCTGAGATTTGGTAATCCATTACACTTTGGAATGTTGGAATATTTATATCTCCAATATTTGGGATATTTTCCAAGAGCTATTTATTTTATTGGTGTGCCATTTTAATCAGTGTAACATTTAATAAATTAGACTGATTTATTTCTTGTTGAGTTACTCCGTGATAATCGCTTCCCAATTTCACTTTGTGATACATGTAAATCATTTCCGATTTATATGTTAGTTTCCCGTGATTTATAATTACTATTTTACAGTAGTAATTATCCTAATTTGTGGACATGGTTATCATAACAGATGTTATAATTTTTTAGAAAAGGCTTGTGAATGGTGTAAAGAATATTATGAAAAGGTGATTGATGAAAATGTTAAAAAGATTAAATAAAAATGATGAACTTACTAAAGAAGATGTAGATGAAAACTTCGAAGTAGATGATTATGATGAAGAAGATGATGTAATTATTGATCCCAATAACTTGAATGAAATTTCGTGTGAAATACAAGTAGCCATTGACAATTGGGGTGTGCGACATTCTAAGAAAATCAAAACTAATTAATGTCATATATTGATTGGTATATGTAAATTTTTTTTA